TAATATATTGATCAATACAAATGGGCCTCCGTGTACCGTGTGGTCCGTGTTTATAATTTCCCGGGCTGAATTTTGATCCCAATCCGTCCCTGGCAGTCGGCAGAACGTGAGCTCACTGCTCAGCCGYGAACATCGGGCAGTTGTCTCGGAATTTCATGGAGGAAAAAAAACTAGTGAACTAACCAATTGTAAAATCATGATTTTCGACAATTCGAATGTATGCACGCCGCACGGCCACTATCGTTATTTAGCCGCGCTTTTTACTTATTACTTATTAGTTCGACTCGAAATCCAGAGATTCGCTGACAAAACTTGATTCTGAAACAGAAAACAGAATATTGAGTAAACAAACAACAGTGTTTAATAGTTCACGTGCTTTACAATCTTGACTCTTGAGTCTTGGTGGCTGGTGCGCCGTTTGCATTGAGTTTATTCCTGCTCGTTGTATTCAAATGGTAATTATATTTTACCCTATAAACTGCCATTAATAACTGATGATAATATTATTATATCGTTGCTCACTTACGAATTATTATTTGGTAGGTAGTAAGTACTCGTACTAAGTTGAATTAAGGTATAGGTAATTATAATTTAATTCATATACACTGCTTAGTGTTTTGGCGACTCGCACTTACATAGCTGTTACTATAGGTTAACGGTTTGAATTCAATATTGTTTTCGGTTTTTATTTGTTTCTTGGAAATATGTCCAAGCACCTTGTCGACATGGCGTCCAAGCAAAAAGACGTCATGTTTAACATGTTGTCATTAAAGCACAAGTTATTAATCCCAGAAAAAGAATGTGAAAAATGGTATGTTATTTTGTTTTTAGATTATATTGTGTATGACTATAGTAGCTTATGTATATATTGTATTTTTAATTTGAATCATTAACTAATTGTTAATTTGTTTTAGTAAACAACATTCTAAAGATTGGTTAATCATTAATGTATGTCATCATGTACTCTGTATAAATTGTGCAAAAATAAATGGTACGGATACGACTTGCTGTCAGATATGCAACATCATGTTTGATCCAAACACACAAGTCAGTACAGTTACCGAAATGAAAATAGCATTTTCACAAATTGAAGAATTAGTGTGGAAAGTTATTGCACTAGAGTAAGTGGTGTTTTAAATTTGTTAATTTCAACATTTTTAAATAAGTATTATTTGATTTAACAGGAGTGGAACATTGGATGCATTATATCCTGATGAAGAATTTAATAAGTAATTAAAGACAACTGTGTATTTAAAATTGATAAAAAGTAGTTTTGCTTTGAGACATTTTTTACTTCCAATATTTTTTAATATTCCAAATTATTATCTTTTTTTGAACAGTTGTTTTTTTAAATAAATTTATCTGTGGACTGATTAAGTTGATTTAAACTAAAATTTCTAATTGTTTTATAGTTTATGAAAATAATTATCTCATTGATAATATTGTGCAAATAAAATAAATATAAAAATTATTTAAATCKTTAAACCTTTCTATCATTATTAAAACAATATTTAGTTCAATATAAGATAATTTTTGTTATTTGTTAAAGATTTAATTTGACTAATGTTAAATTTATTGATTATTACAGAAAAATAAAACCCGATATGATTCATATTAACTCAATTAAATCTTCAATACAAAACCACTTGTCTAATCAAAATACTGAATCTAATGGAGAATCTAATTTAAATTTATCTCAATCATCAGTAGATCTATTTGATGAGACTGAGGACATTGAGGTTCCAGAAGAAGAAAATAATTATCATCAGTCTAATGGATCTGAATCTATTTGTGTTAATTCCGACAAAAATGATAAACTGGTAAAATAGAATTTTCTATTAAACCTATAATGTTAATTATGATGTGCTTCAGTTTTAGATTTTTCGTATATTTATTTAATGTCCAAACAAATTTGTAAAATAGTAGCTGACTGATCATTTTTATTTTTTGTTCATCTTTTATTATAGAAACATAGTAACATAATCTTTCATTACTCATAATTTGACATTATTTAGTCCAACAAATGTTTAACTTAATACATTTTGAATTTGTTTTCATTGTACTTTGGAAATATTTACTCTGCATTAAGAATTATTAGTTATATGATATTTAATTGTACAATTTAATCACTTGATTATTTTATAAATCAATTAAGCCAATGACAAGGCATTTATTATTCTTTATTGTTTTTTGTTAGATATTGATTTAAATAAGGTTAAGCTGACAATGTAAGATATATTAAGTTTTAAACCTCTAAATGAGTAATTTTTGCATTGTAATCTTTATTGAAAATAAAGGAATATTTACAATTTGTCATATTTTTTGTACAATAATTAAATTTAACATGAATTGTTGGAGGAGTAAGTCCCATTAATGTGGACATTTTCAAAAAAATAAAAAAGATATATTGTTCATTTTATGTTACAATYAAGTTACTTTACTGATTTTGTTATCTTAATTTAATAATCATTAGTTAAATAGGATTTTAAAAAGGTAAATAATTTTTTATATTTTATTATAGTATTACAATGTCTACAAAATTTTCATTTTAAATAAATATACAACTGAATGAAAAAAACTTAATTACCTTATCAATTCATGCTAATACTTAATATCATGCATTTATGTATATAAAAAACTCAGAAATATGTATCTGATACCTATGCTCTTAAAATATTTTAGAGGATGTCAGAACAATATTTGTTTTCCTTCAGATCATTGTATAACATATATCTACTGCTTCATACCATTCTCAAGAGTTTGTCATATTGGTTTTATTATTATTATTATTTGACTAATAATAGAAAAAATAATTTTTTAAATTTTAATGCTGTTTAAATTGTTTTAACTTTTAAGACAATATTTAGATTAACATTAATTTAACATTACCCTAACCTCAAAAAAATTATTTTCTATTGTTTTTGTAATGGATAATTTTACGCTAAGATAACTTAAAAACAAAACAAAAAATGATTTTGTGTAAATGTGTTTTGTTTATGTTGCACCGGGACCAGACAGAAACTGCGCCGACATTCTCTTAAGTAATATGTTCATACTACTTACCCAAAATATTACATAATGTTGTTTTTTTGAAAATTAAATTTAACTTTTTGATCATTTATTAACTGAATACTTTATTATTAGTCTAATTAACCATCGTTAAAAAAAACAATATATTAAAAGAAAAATTCCGGTAGGTATCTATAACATATAAATTAAGATATTAAGTCATAAGATAGAACAATAGTATTTTA